TCTTACTCTATCCCTAAACTACAAATCCAAAATGTCCTAATCTTACCCTAAAGTCTTTCCCTTAACCCCTTAAGGACCAAACTTCTGGAATAAAAGGGAATCATGACATGTCACACATGTCATGTGTCCTTAAGGGGTTAAACAAGCCAAGTCAGAGATACCAGAAATCGGCATAACAAGGAATAGCCAAGGTCAAAATACCAGAATATCAGAACCACAAGAATAAACACACTCTCGGGAACCAGGAACAGGAAACCACGACAGGGCAAGGTACTGGGGTGAATTAGGGATTTAAATATCCCTATCTATGCTGTGATTGGTCAGAGGATGACCTCTGACCCCAGAACGTGCGTGTGCATCGGCGCCGTGACGTCACACACACGTCAGTATAATTTCGGGGGACGGAGCCACTGATGGACGCGACTGCATGGTCAGTGCCATCTTTGATTTGCCAGGGCAGTGTGGAGGAGCGGTTCCCAGCTCGCCGCTGAGCAGGTAAGCTCGGCTTGTCGGTGCGATCGTGCCCATCGGGGACAGATACACCTCGCGGCGAGCCGGGAGCCGTAACAATTCCTATTCTTCTTTTTTATGGGGAATTTGGAATGTTTAAGTTTATCCTTTCTTTTCTTTTTCGATCCCATTCTAAAAAAATCTTTGGATTGGTCCCCTTGATTCAGTACTTCACACCTGTTTTCAATGGGTATGTCAAATCTAGGGTAATTCTTCTTCTCTGTCCTGTGTTGGACAATTCTCCATGGATTGGAATCTGATGCTTTTTTATATTCTATATCTTCCCTAGGAGTTGTTCTATCAACCTGAGTGGTATTCATGTGATTAATCTCATCTCTACTCTGTTGATTCTGGTGTTCTCTACTTCCATCTGTGGATTCTCTTCTCTTGTTAGGTTGTTGTAAATCTATTTTCTCCTTGCCATACTGCTGTCTATTTTTATTATGATTATTTTTGTGCAATTAGTGGTTTGTTTATAATCAATTTGGATAGGTGCGATATGTGCAATCATAATACAGAGAGTGTTTTTAACACTTTCTCTTTAAGAGACATGGATGGAGATTCACTGCTCTCCATATGTATATGAAATATGTGCATTCAATAATCTGCATAGGTATTTTATGTGTAAGTTAATGTTGCATTTTTGTATGGCAATGTTTCCTTGTATATAAAGGTTCTGTTTAGGTTCTTAGAAAGAGAAGAGACTGAACTGGGATTACAAAAAGATCCTCCCATAAATCAGTCCCTATTAGTGATGTCCCGAACTGTTCGCCGAACGGTTCGCAGCGAACGGTTCGCCACGGACTCATCATTGAGTAAACTTTGACCCTGTACCTCACAGTCAGCAGACACATTCCAGCCAATCAGCAGCAGACGCTCCGTCCCAGACTGGATGTGAAAGCATGGTCTTGTGGTATGATTCGCATGGTAAAATTAAGGAACCTGGTAGGGATTGTAGTTCCTTGTGGTTGCAAGTACTATATATGCATAGGAAACGTCTACTATTCTGCTAGATATATAGTATGTACAACACACCAGTAAACTCTTTCATATGCAAACTGAGATAGCTTGTTGCTCGTAATGCTTATTGCAACAATGTCTCATTAGCCAGTGTAACTAATGGTGTGTATAAATGGAGAGCAAGATAAATCCCCAAAACAAAATGACCCCATTAAATTAAAATGAATATTAATGTCCCTATGGGGTATAATGATTTGCATCCAGATTAATTAGTTAGGGGTAGACTTTGCTGGGGGTTAAGAGTATTATAGAAGTCTAAGCAATAGTACTGTCTGATCTAATAGTCAGAATGTTAAGCGATAGAATACTTCCATAGTTTTAATTGTCATACTCAATAGGATACCCCAGTATTGTAGTAGCATAGAGATATTTAAAGCATAATCTATATCCCTAGTGTCGCTAGGCTAGCGATCAGCCCATCTAAACGTGATAACTCGATCTATCAATAGTTTATAGCTGAGTCAAACCATATAAGGGTAAAAAGATCGTAATAGAGCCTAATATGTCCATGCCAATACCCTCCTAATTCTATATACAAAAGCAGATAGACGTTCTAATTTAAAACCTAATGGTCGTGATAACGATCAACACGTGTTTCGGCGCCAGTATTGCGCCGTTATCAAGAGCTTGTTTAGGTTCTTATACACACTTGATTCGATATATATGCTAAGCCTAATTTTATGTAATACATATAAGCAGTTCGTTATGGTTTTAATGTTTATTTAGAGGACAGACTTTTTGAATAACCTCTCTGCAATAAAATCCTGTCCCCAAACCAATGAGAAAGCAAGAGGGGAGGAGTTAGATATATAAGAGAAGGGGAACAAGACCGATGACATTGTTGGAAAAAGCCTGGGCAGGCGGGCGAAACATGTCACTCAAGACATCACTGGAGAGGTGGACCCAGAAGAGATCACGTGATCGGGACAGGCGAAACCCGGAAGTGACTTTCATTGAGTGGCGAACACCATTATACTTTGTGTATACATGCTTTTATGTGGGTAGTTTTGCTGGCACACCCACCAATTGCAAAGAAAGAGTTTTCAACCTTTTTTACAATAAATTGTTTAAGATGCTATTCATAGAACCATCAGACTACTGGGAACATAACATCTAGATCCTGTGTGGGAAACTTCCCTCTCAAGTGGAGATTTTCAAACAGAGAGCCAGGGGTGATAGGGCTCTCTTCCATGTGAGTTCTCCCCTTTACCCCATTTATGCTTTACATTTATTTAGATAGTCTGCACTATATTTGTTTTTGTTACTTTCAGAATATTTCCTCTTCAATTTGAGTGTGCTTATTTTGGTAATATCATTATGTTGGTGTATACTGTATGTGTCACTGTGGTACAACACAGCTAAAATTGAGTATTATCTTATCTCCACAGCACTGATACATTTCTGGCTCTTATTGTTTTGACATGCCCTTGGAATGATATCAAACAAACTGTTTGACCATGGGCTGGTGGACATGTCCCTGGGATGTTGACGAGTCTCACTCTCCCTCAACTTTTTACCTTGCGATTGTGAAGATTTGCATCAATTAAAATTAAAATTATTTAGACAGCGTCAAATGTATTCTTCAGTGCTGTAGAATAGACACACAAGACAAACACTTAATTCTGACAAAACATGATTGACATTATGGAACAGTAGATGAAGAGTCCCTTGACCAAACAAGCTTGCAATCTAAAAGGGTGAGGGAGAAATACACAAAAGGATGGGGGTGTTTGAAAGCTGAGAGCACAGTAGATGGGAAGTGGCAGAGGAATGTTATAAGGGATGAGGAGTTAAGGGAAGAGCTGATATTCACACATAGGACTAAGCTTCATGGACTTTCCACAACTTGCCCTCTAGGATTGCTGCCCTGTCAGGCTGTAGAGCAGGAGTAAGCTGTTGCCCTTGTCGGAAACTGGGTCACATTTGGAGTAACTGTTCTTCATGCAGGGCATGCAACCATTGGCAGAGAACTGTTTGTACAAGGCCAAGATGGGGGAGTGCCCACTTCTTTCAGGAACAGATTAGAAATCAGTGCAAGCCAGTTTAGAGACTCTAACCAGTTACCACCTACCAGAGAGGTGGTGTGTTCTTCTTTACATTAGTTAAACCCTGTGCAAGTGGCCAGGAGGGATAACCAGGACTGTCACCAGTTTGTATTAGTGAATGGGCAAGTTGTCTGAAAAGTTACTTTGACTCTGATTGAACCTAGATGTGTCCAGCCTCGACACTGGAGAGGGCTTACTGTGGCTGTATAGGTCTCAGGAGAGCTTGTGCACAAACTACCCACCACTAAACACCACCTTGATTGGGGCAATTTAACTGGGAAATAGAAGTAGGCACAAGGAATCGCTTACTAGCTGAGCTCCTTAAGGGAATGTAATGGCACAAAATGAGCTAAAACCAGCTTGAGATCTGAGTGGGGACCCACCGAAGGGCAGGCTAATTGAGCTGTTGTCCGTTCTCACCTCTCTTGCTCCTTGTTTTTCTCTTCTTAAGTTTAAAGGGCAATCCAGACGTGGACCCCCTTGCTCAAGAGAGCTATATCTCACGGATGAAACCTTACAAGGTTGAAACGATCATCTGGGGTTGCTGTATCTCTCGTGCAGAGGGAACTTGCTGGCATTTCGGATCTGGATTGCCTGTACCAGTCTGATATGCTTCAGATATGTTCTCTTTATAATGGCACAAGATGAGCTAAAACCAGCTTGAGATCTGAGCGGGGACCCACCGAAGGGCAGGCTAATTAAAGTATTGTCTGTTCTCACCTCTCTTGCTCCTTGTTTTTCTCTCCTTATGGGAAGTGACCTTATGCAACTTACCTTAGTTGTTGCAGGACCCGAAATTATTTACAACCCTGACTGTATAACAAAAATCATGGATCAGGAGGGTCTACTAAAGGCAAAGTGGGATCCAGAGGCACAGATACTTGTGAGTGGACCTCCGTGTGAGAACTAGACTGAATGGACTGTAGTAATGAATTAAGTCTGTAGTTGGCTAGCCAGAGAAATTCTGGACTGACTTAGAAGGAGAGGGCTTGCAAAGGCAGTAAACGAAGGAACTGTAGCTTTTGCAATCTGTCTTTAGAAATACCACCAATGAAAAAAATGCATAATTAAATGCATGGGGGTAGGGAAAATGGAAGGTAACACAAACCAAACAATGGATGGAAATGCTTCTGGGTCCTTTAAAAATAGGAAAAGCCAAGCATAGTGTAATATGCAAATGTATATGAATGAAATGGTGAAAGAGTATATAGAACTGCTCACCTGATTCAGAGCCTCTATCTCTGGCTCTGAGTATAAAAGTATGGGTACCACTAGGGGGGTACCAAACCCTATAGATGAATTCAGGAACACCACTTTCGTCCGGATGGAAAATAAAAGTAAAATTTATTATACAATATAGAATTATAAAAACAATAGTAGAATATTAAAAACGTAGAATCCTCCTGGACGTCCGAGACGCGTTTCGCCGGCAGGCTTCATCAATCGGTGTGTGTTCCTGTATTCGTATTCTTCTTTTATACCCGGAGAGGGGATCTGTAATTGCAATTACAGGTATAAAAGAAGAATACGAATACAGGAACACACACCGATTGATGAAGCCTGCCGGCGAAACGCGTCTCGGACGTCCAGGAGGATTCTACTTTTTTAATATTCTACTATTGTTTTTATAAATCTATATTGTATAATAAATTTTACTTTTATTTTCCATCCGGACGAAAGTGGTGTTCCTGAATTCATCTATAGGGTTTGGTACCCCCCCTAGTGGTATCCATACTTTTATACTCAGAGCCAGAGATAGAGGCTCTGAATCAGGTGAGCAGTTCTATATACTCTTTCACCATTTCATTCATATACATTTGCATATTACACTATGCTTGGCTTTTCCTATTTTTAAAGGACCCAGAAGCATTTCCATCCATTGTTTGGTTTGTGTTACCTACCAAAACACATCTGATCAAGTGATCTGAGCCTGTCCTGTTAAGGCTCAGCACCAAGTGAGTGGTTCTATACACCTTCACACTTTTTAATTATTATCTTACAGTATTTCACTATTGTAGTTCCATTTTCCCTACCTCTAGGTTCTAATACACCTAAAAAGAGAGGGGGGAGGTGAGTTATTCACAAGCATCCCTTCAGCGCTCTACCTTCTGACTGGTGTTGGTTTTTACCACACAGTCTATTGTTACACTCTGTATTTTTTGTGCTAAGCAGTGGAAGAATTGCACATTGGTGGTAGCAGCTCACATTGATTTAAAATTTTCTTTTAAGCGCCTGAGACCACAATCACTACATACCACTCATAATTAAATGCATGCATGTTTTCATTTCGGGTATATATACTAAACAGTGAGTTTAGTTTTTAAATTCTGACAGTGGAGTGTCCCTTTAAACTTTATTACTGGAAGGAACTGGGAAATGTTTGACACTCACAAAACAGAACTTACTTAAACATAAACACAAAGAAAAAGTAGGTGCACTATCCTAGCTACAAGCTAAGCCCAGGGACTAGCGAAAGTATTTAGAAAATTGGGCAGACTAGATGGGTCAAATGGTTCTTATATGCCATCACATTCTATGTTTCTATGACGTGAACTATACAATCAATCAGCGTACAAATTTTTCCAGGAAACAAAAATAATTTTTTTTAAAAACTTTTTTTTATGTCCCTGCAAAAAGCTAATACACTGCAGCTTTAATATGCACAGTCCTATAGTCCAATGAATGGATTTCCAGACAATGATTTGTATTGATCCCCAATATATTTGTATAATATACCCTCTGTTTTCTTAACTAAATACATTTTAATTTGTAAGCATTTTTTCATAAATAAAAATTTTGATTCTCCCTATTACTTTTGTAGCCCACCTCTACAGTACATTTTTTCTTGGGCCATAATATCCTTCTTTAGAAAAGGTGCCCAAAATGGCACAGCATATTCAAGGTGTGGTATTATCATTGATTTATAATGAAAATGTGTATGCGTGACAATACCATACTGGCCTTGGCAATTGCTGACGGACATTGTTGCCCTAGTTTGTTGTCAATAACTATACCCAAATCCTTCTCATGCATTGTTTTCCCTAACTCACTGCATTGTAGAGTGTAAGTTGCTTGTGCTTTCTTCACCGTGAAGTCTATAACTTTCAATTTATCTACATTAAATTTTATCTGTCATTTGTGTGTCCAGTCTCCTAATTTATCGAAATTCATCTGCAGTGAAGTAATATCCTGCTCACTTTGTATTACCTTAGCAAGGGTTGCCATTTGAACTTGTGGAGCCCCTTGCACAGCCCAACGCCAGGTAAAGTGAATGCAAGGTGTGTGTGTGTAGTGAATGCAGAGAGAGTGTGTAAGGAAAGTGAATGCAGTATGAGTATACTGGATGCGTTGTATGTGTATAAGGTGGCTGCAGTGTGTATAGTGGATGCAGAGTGTGTATATATTGAATGCAGTGTGTGTTTGTGTAGTGGATGCAGTGTGTGTAGTGAATGTAGTGTCTCTCTTTGTGTAGTGGATGTAGTGTCTGTGTTTGTGTGGTGGATGTAGTGTCTATGTAGTAGACGCAGTGTCTCTGCAGTGGATGCAATATTTGCATAGTGAATGCAGTGTATTTGTGTAGTGGATTTGTCTTTGTGTTGGACAAGGGTTGTGGGGTGGATGGGTCTTTTTTTTTTTTTTTATAACCGATATTCCCCCTCCCTGTCTCTTAAATGTAGTTTCCCTGGTGGTCCAGTGGCTCAGGTGGTTGTACAGCAGTTTCCATCTTCCATCTTCTCTGTGTCCTGGGCTCCCTCTTTGAAGACAGCAGGGCCATAAGGAGCACATATATATATATATATAGCGACACATTGGGGGATGGGGGTATAGGGCCCGGGCATGCAGTGGATACAACAGCAGAGGTGAGGAGTTTGGGCCTCGCAGGACTGCCGGGCAACGTAACAGCCGTCACTGTTGTCACACCTTGCTGGTGGCTCTGACCTTGTCGGTTTTGTGTCATCTGCAACTGAAATATGAATTTCAATGCCTTTTTCAATATCATTTATATATTGATTGATTAGAAGTGGTTTCAGAGGGATCTTTTTACTATTAAAGACAATTCTCTGTACTCTATCTTTAAATGCTTACTTCAGGCACCATGACTACATCAGTGATTTGTAGTGGTTATGGTGCCTGGAGTTTGTATGAGCAGCATTTCTCTATGAAACACTGCACATAGGGAGTTTAACCCCTTATTGCTGGAGGTGTAACTCCACCTCCAGCAGTGTCTTTAGCCAGCTTCGAGCAACAGTTCTGAGCTGCCTAACATAAATTATGTGCAAATTGTGATGCACAGATGCTCATTGATTGGAAGAGAGAAGTCAGGTGATGCCCTCAGCCAGTCAATGAGTGGCATGATCGACATCTGTTTTCTGCTGCTCTGCAGAATCAGATGTCATAAACCTGCCTTTAAAGAAAGGCAAAAGCCCAGCAGCACCACTGTTACTGGTGTTGCAGATGCTCCTGGTATCAGGTTACACAGACTCACTCCGGACACAGGTCATAGGAAAACAATTGATTTATTTAATGGCTGGCCAGTCTCAGCCAGACTCAAGTTTGTAAAAAGCTGAGCCCCCCTTTGCAGTTTAACAAAGCTTATATATCACAGATGATGCAGTTCATACATACAGAGGAAATACAAGGCTTACACCCATACTGCAGTACTTAACCTATTAGCAAACCTATACTTATCACAAAAAGCATTAACTACTTATTAAGCATTCCTAGCATTCCTACACGTGCACCCTGGTCCTGAGTGTTTGTACAGCAATTTAACCACATAAATTCCAGATGTTTCTGGGGCATCCTGTAGCCTCTATCACATTCCCCCCTTTGATGCTTTAGAACCTGGATACAGGTGACTGACAAGCATTGTGGCGGACTGCCAATATATCGCCGCCATGGATTCCCTTTTCCCCAAATAAAACAGCTCCAATAATCTTGAAGTACAATATCGCCAGTATCGCATATCCCCCCACACATGAGCCGAGGCTTAATGCTGGAAGTCAAACTGTTTAATGCAAGCACAGTCATAGAATTTATACATGTACGAAACTCAATTATCTCCAGGTACAGAAAAACATGAACATTTTTAAACACTCCAAAAGTACACCCCAAATCCATGGAAACCCCCACAAAAGTCTCATCCTCAGACAGCCCTGATCTGAGTGACCATCATATCCAAAATTCACTCAGATAGTTACAGTAGTTTTGAATGGCCACGGCGGAGACGTTTTGACCAGGTCTACCACGAGGTTGAAGCCCAAAATAGTTCCAGGGAAATTGTGGCAAGGGCCAGTCTCCATTCATTTTTGTTTTTTTACGGAAACCAAATAGTTTATACAAAATATTTTAAGTGTAGAATGCTTCCCTCATTCGGTAGCTCATATTTACCAAACGTCGTTCATATAGGTGGTCGGGAACTTACAGGGCAGCAGGTCTATTTCCATCAGCATTCGTGGCAGTGCCTAGCCAAAATCAGTTCCAGGCACTCGACGATAAAGTCTCACTGCCTGTGTGTGGGGGAGAAAATGGACACCATCCATTCTGTCGACCACGTGCGTTCGGTTGCACAGTGGAGCATTCTATTAATTATTTCCTTTGCTTTTTCATACTGGATACTCGGTGTTCCACATTCTAATGAGGTTCTGGGGTGGTCCTCATTCAGGAATCGAACCTGGTGGTTACGAACAAAATAAACAAATATCCATAAACTAAATGTGCTGAAACAAGTGATGGGGTATTCCTTCACAAGCATCATAACACAATAAATCCTTTAGGGCTCATACCAGACTAGAACAGATGGGGCTATATTTTGTCTTTCCATTGACCTACCATTAGTGCACTTCGTTCCCTTAGGAACTGTTCATATTCAGAGAACCCAGTTTGTCGCCCTCCCTGAGTGGGATTAGGAAAAAGGAAGGTTTCAGAGCTCCCAGTACACAGGCTACCGGCCAATCTCTGGGGACCTCAGAATAGGCCTTAAAGCCACAGATTTAATACATACTATTGGGTGTGTAAGGAAACCTGGTATATGTAATCCTCATTCTGTAGTTTCCTTCGAACCGCCAGAGCATCAGTGAGTATAGCTCTCTGGTCGGTAGATGAAATAGATGAAATGTATATGAATACAAATAGCTTTATAAGATAATTCCCTTAATAAAGCACACGAATACCCAAACATCAGCCGAAGTCAAAAAGAAGGTGTGGCGGAACCAACCTCGCCACTATGCACTGGAGAAGCCTGGTTGCCAGCCTCCTGCCATGTGACTATGGCCCCTGGGATGTATTGCCCTTTAAAGACATGATTTGGGCATAATGGATTTGTGTTGTGCTGCTGCTGGCCCTTTTAAGAACCATCTGGGGACATACTGTGGAGTTACTGGGTGGCCACCATTTCCTGTATCAGAAGCACATGGTGAGAACAATGGATGGCGGCCATTTTAACTCACAGACACTGTGTGGACTTTTCAACACGGTGCCATCTCGCCAGTATTTGTTGCACAGAGACATCGTGCGGTGGTTTTGGACTATACAGCAGGGGACACATTATACAGTGATTGTTTTTTAT